TTCTTCCTGATAATACAAGTGTCAGTCTTGATGCAAATGCTTGGACRATACAGCCAGTGTTTGGCTGGGTGTGGAGGCAAGGGAGAGTACCAGTGGATGACATGGCAAGGACATTTAACTGCAGCATTGGGGCTGTGGTTATTGTTAATAGTGCTGATGCTGTGTCTGTTATGGATGCTTTGAAAGTCGCTGGTGAAACTGCTTGGATYATTGGACAAGTGAGTAGATAAAGATATAAGTTGTTCTCCTCTTGAGTCATCTTGTCATGTTTTATATTAACTAACTCTTATAAACTACCTCTAAGCCAGGGCACAATTGACTCTCAAACCAAATCCTAAAACTACCTCTAAGCTGATCTAAGTCAGGGCATGGCTAACTCACTGATCAAACCCTGAAACAACCTCTGTGCTGATCTAAGTCAGGGCATGGCTAACTCACAGATCAAACCCTAAAACAACCTCTGGGCTGATCTAAGTCAGGGCATGGCTAACTCACAGATCAAACCCTGTAACAACCTCTGGGCTGATCTAAGTCAGGGCATGGCTAACTCACAGATCGAACCCTGAAACAACCTCGGAGCTGATCTAAGTCAGGGCACGGCTAACTCACAGATTGAACCCTGAAATAACCTCTGGGCTGATCTAAGTCAGGGCACGACTTACTCACAGTTCAAGCTGGATTTTAGCGTGTTGGTGGTTGCGGAGTACGAAATACTAGAGACCCGGGAAAAAACAAATACAATTTCAAGTAGTTCATGGGTCCTCCGGTTTTCCTCAATCCAAAAAACCCATCGCCCTCCTAAATTCCAATTTGATCTGTTCCGCTTCGGCCGTGCCTTTGGATTACATCAGATACGTCTGCTAAAAAAGTGACCCCATTTGAAATAGCCAGAATTTTGAATTATTCTAGGTGACAGAATCAACTGGGAACGACAGAGAAGTTAGAATAGACAACCTAGAGCATGCGCTAGAGTCGGCCTCTTCTGACGTGAGCATCTCTACTCCACTAGCTGTCAGTAACGGCTTCAAGAAGCTCAAACTCAGCAATGGAGAGACAAGTCCAGTCAGGAAAAGGAAACGAGTTGGTGTCTTAATATCCGGCTCAGGGACAAACCTTCAAGCTTTGATTGACAGGAGTCTACGTCAGGACAGTCACTCGGAGATCGTGATGGTCATTAGTAATAAACCTGGGGTRCAGGGTTTGAAGAGAGCTGAAAAAGTAGGGATACCGACCAAGGTTTGTTGAAGGTTGATCAGATGATGGTAAAAACCCTTTTAGCTTGGGTGTAATTTTTTCCCATTTCAGACCACGTGTCATTCCTTGAGTATCATTTCTTTGTTTAACGGYTGYRCATGAGAAGACACATGAATATAGATACAACTCAAACAAAGAATCTTATCTTCAAGGAAAAGATACATGGTCTTAACTGGGTAAACATTACGCCAAAGGGAAAACAGCAATAGATCGTTTTCGAAATCGTACAATACCGCAGTGCTCCTTGATTGCAGACTCATTTATTCAGTGTTAGCCTTAATTAGTGTCTCCATATTCATAAATATTATCGGTAAAGTAAACAATACCTTCACTGGAACATATGACTATTCTACACAAAATCGAGACTAAGGCCCCGTCCACACGTATCCGCAATTTTTTTTTGCGGATACGGGTTGCGTCCACACATGTCCGGAAATGTTTTTATCCGTATCCGGAAATTTTCGAAAACGGTCTCAAGAGTGGAAATTTTCGAATACGCTCCGAATACGGACACGTGTGGACGGTCGTATTCGCAAATTTTCGAATGCGATAACGTAAACACGATTTTGCTCATGCTCAATAAGAAAAACTATCCGTCAAAGGGACTAGGCACTAGCGCGTAACAGGTCGGATCAAGAAATTTCCGGATACGTGTGGACAGTAAAAACGATTACAATACGCTGCTTGTGGACGCGAACATTTTCGCATCCGCAAAAAAAAATTTGCGGGTACAAAAATTTGCGGATACGTGTGGACGGGGCCTAATCCTGAGCAACAGAGAACTCGAAACTGGAGTATTTGGTCTGAAATCGCAATGATGAAATGCGGTGGTTTTTAAACTGTATTTTTTCACATGTTTCAATCTCTTTTATCTTCCATTTGATAGGTAATCAATCATAAAGACTTCAAGACAAGATTAGATTTCGACATGGCTGTACAAGCGGCTCTCGAAGAAGCTAAAGTAGAGGTAGTCTGCCTAGCTGGTTTCATGCGCATCTTGACTGSTGAATTCGTACGGAAATGGAACGGGTGTTTAATCAACATACATCCATCACTCCTCCCCTCGTTCAAAGGCGTAGATGCGCACAAACAGGTGTTAGAAGCAGGTGTTACTATTAGTGGATGCACTGTGCATTTTGTTGTGGTAGGTGTTATATTGAAGAAATAGAAAACGCGCGCGCGTGCTGTGTGRAGTTAYAAAGCACGCGGGGGTTSGSARAMMMSAGAGAAGTGTTAGGAGAAGCAGGATGCGTAGCGGAGTGCTTCTCGACACTTCTTGAGTGTTTTGCCAATGCCCAAGTGCTATTTTTTTCCATTGTGATATGCCTTACAGAAATATTTCAACAGAAGAAATGTCGAATAATTCCAGGCATCCCAGACCTCCTATAYATCCTATATTTCCTATAATTTGTATAGGATCCTATAAAGAGCCTATATTTAAAGAAAACCTCCTATATTTCCTATAAATAGGACGACTGCTGATTGATACATTTATATTTTACACTGTTTAGCATATTTGGCGAAGGAAATAAAATGGCCCCTTTTTTTTTTTTTTTTTTCTGTTTTTTTTATTTTTATGGCCGATCCCTGGTTACGCTACCGAAAAGCTATCTTAGCTCCTATAAAGTGCATATATTTTTGGGAAAAAATCCTATATTTTCCTATATTTAGAACTTGCACAGCCTATATTTCCTATCAAATTTGTCTAAAAAGTGGCTGGGATGCCTGTAATTCTGATAAAAACCTGAATTATTTCCGTAAGGCATATTAGAATTTGACTTCTGATGATGAACACTTGTTTCGAAATATGCCGTATGTGTTAATGATATTTAYAAAGTAATTGGGATACTACGCGCGCTATGATTGCTTGAAAACCATGTATGATGAGAGTATCAAAACACGCTATCGTCATTTTTAATCTATCGCGCGCGCTCATTTGTTAGTTTGAATAAGACGGCACGTAGGGAGAATTTACTTAGACTTTGCTCTTTTTCGATCTTTTCGCGCGTTTGTTATTTTATAAAACAAATCAAAAACAGTTTTCCGTGTTTGATACTCTGATCAAAACACGCGGGATGTTGGGAGAACACGAGAGGAGCGTAGGAAACCACGACGCGTAGCGGATCTGTTAATTCTCATACTTTTTTTTCTGACAGGAAGAAGTAGACGCTGGTGCTATCATAACCCAAGAAGCAGTCCCAGTCCTCCAAGGAGACACGGTCGAGTCGTTACAAGAACGAGTGAAGACCGCTGAACACAGAGCSTATCCACGAGCTATGGAGCTACTATGCAGCGACCGAGTGGTTCTTGGAAAAGACAACAAAGTGAAATGTTCGTCATGACTACCATGTTAAGGTGGACACTGCCTCTTTAAATCTTAGAGACTGCAGAGTCCACTATCTCGCTTGGTAAATAATGCCGTCCACTAGRAATCGATGTTGTATGTGGTGT